TTTTCGTGTCTTTGAGCTTTAAAATTTGATAAGCACTAGAATAAGCAAGAATAACCCGAGGACGCGACTAGTGTTTGGAAAAATAGATAAAAACCTACAAAAAAGCTAAAAAAAAAAGAAGAAAAAAAGAAGACTATTGCACACATTTATTTTTACATTTAAAATGATAGATAATAAAGTATTTGTGTTATAACCACCTTTCTAAATTTGGATTCAGAGAAAAAAAAAGAGATTTTCTCTCTTTTGCGGCTTTCTTTCCACAGTTTTAACCTACTGTCAGCTCTGCCTTTTATTCTTCTCACTTGTTTTGTGTCTCCTTTTCACCCACCTCTTGTGCAACATGTAAGCTCTATTGGGATTATTGAAACATCACATTCATCTACTGATATGGGACACACTGTGGCCTCCTCTGTTATCCAGCATTCTGCAGCAAAGCAAAGTTTTTGGACAACAAAATATCAGGATGAAGCTGATAAATTCACTGGCAGAGGCAATATAAAACCAGAAAACCTGGAGACTACTATCCACTGCCTATTTCTAGTAACAAAAACGGTTTAAAATTGGGGAAAAATACTTTAAATTTGTCCTGCATTGTTCCAATTAAACCAATCTTGGTGAATAGGATGGTGAGAGCTAATACCTGGCTGCAATATGAATGAATTCTATATCTTAGACCACAGACTGACAAACTTATAAAGACCGACAGAGGCCGCCCCATTAGGAGTGTTGTGTGTTAAAGATTAAGGGTCAAGATATTTCATTTAAGAATGAATAATAAATGTAGCCCAGTAAATTATCTGACTCCAATCACAGCAGGAATGATTACATATCTACACTGAAGGCAAACAAATGAAAACTTCTTGTTCTTTTCAGTTTATATTTCTGCATTTTTTTTCCAACTCTATTGTTTTAAAGATGTGTATATTAGATAGTGGCATGGGTATAAAGTGTTTATGTCTGACATCCATAAGAAAATATAAGCGCATTGTCCTGGTGCTTAAAGCTTGAAACACAGAGAATAGGGGAAGGCAGAGCAGAAACGGGGGAAAGTTCAAGGAGAATAAAAGGCGGGTGGGGAGCACAATAGAAAATAGAAGGAAACGACGAGGAATAATACATTTTTTGTTTGGTAAGAGAAATGATTGTAACGGTTATGTGTCTGATTATTTATGTAAAGGCTGATTTAAGACCAATTTTTTAAAAAATGCAGTTCTAAATTAGTTTTTTTTACAGCTGCTGCATGCTGCATTTGAATTATTGCTCAGACACCTCTGTGCTTTTCAAACAAATTCAAACTGACTCACTGAAGCAGCCACTGAACACCATCACAGGAAAACAATCATAGTGGTTCTTTGTTTTTGTTTATTTATTTTCCCATGTTCATTTGTTTTTAAGACAAACTCTCTGAACACATCACCCTGGAAACAAGCCCCCGTTAAATTACATTTGGTTTGCTGCATTGTTTAATGTCAAATTTCCACATCTGCTTGCAGGATTAGGAGTCATCATAGCATAAGGAAGAACTGTAAAACAACAGCAGCTACTTTCAATAGTTTTTAGATTATTGAAAAGAATTTTGGAAGACATACAAATAACTGAATAATTTTAATTTGTAAATTATTTAGAGGAGCAAACAGGTCATAGTTTAACAAATAGGTCATAGTTTAACACACCTCTCTGCAGCTTCTCTACTGTTACCCACTCATTACTCCATCTAAAAAGTGTCCTGCCCAAAAAAGTAAATAAATTAGAATAGAATCCTAAAGGAGTAAATCATGATAATCAAAAATAAAAAAATAAATCCAATTGGGGAAAAAGTTAAAACGATTAAAAGTGAAATAAGATCTCTTTTGTTTAAAAGTCTGTTAGTTAATGACTTGATTTTTGATATGCACATTGACTTATGTTGCCTTACAGAAAATTTGGCTGCAGCAAGGGGATTATGTGAGCATAAATGAGGCAACTCCTAGTTATTTAAATTTTCACATACCCAGAATGAATCTCTGGGTGAGGAGGAGGAGTAGCAACAATCTTTCAGTCTGACTTACTGATTACTCCAAAGGCAGTTAATAATTACAACTCCTTTTAACATTTAACCCTTAGTTTCCCTCATCCAAACAAAGCAACAAAACCTTTTCTTTTTGTAACTTTGCATCAATCACCAAGTCCTTACTCTGAATTTTTTAGAGGTTTTCAGAGTTCCTATCTGATTCAGTGTTAAATACTGGCAGGGTAATCATAGTGGGGGATTTTAACATCCATGCTGACATTGAAGGTGATAGCTTAAGTGCAGCATTTAAAGCCATCTTAGACGCTACTGGATTTGTTCAAAGTCTGAGTAGTCCAACATTTTTCCATTGTGAGATCAATTCTCATCTTCATACTTTGGACCTGGCACTGACATAAGGCTCTATTTTTTAAAGAGCACATTTTCTTCATCTTGTTGATGAAACTCCACTCCAGAAACTCCAGTGCAAACCCACTATTAGTTTCAAGAGTTATGTCTACAAACTAGAGGCTCTAAAATATGCTGTGATGAAGCAATAATCCCGTTAAATATGCTCAGAGCTTTAGATCAGACTTGAAATAACTTGTAATTAAGAATAAATCAATTAATCTTAACGGAATCTGTTGTAATCTAAATCTTAAGAGATTTAGATTACAACAGATTCAGGTATGGATGAAATAACAGAACTGTTAGTTCCATCTCTAACGTTATGCTCACCCTGCTTTTTCTCATAGTAGCTTTGCCTCGTCTGTTCCTGTTTGGCTGTGACACCATCCTGGAGAAAAATATCAGCTGTGCTGATCCCATCAACACCCTTGTTTATAGATGCTGGAGATCGGCCTGTTTTCCAGTGTAATCCTGTTTCTCTGACCATGACTGTCTGGATGTGCTTTCTTCATCCTCTGACATGGGAGCTGGCTCGGAGCTCGTCTGCCTGGCTGTGTGTTTCCTGGACAGGGCCGTCTTTTATAGCTGCTTTTTGTATCTCTGCTTCTGTCTCCTTGAACCCCAGTCGGCCTCGGCAGATGGCCGCACACACTGAGCCTGGTTCTGCTGGAGGTTTCTTCCTGTTAAAAGGGAGTTTTTCCTCTCCACTGTCGCTACAAGCATGCTTAGTGTGAGGGATTGCATTTGAGTCAATGAGTCGATGCAATCAACTGGTTTTCCTTAGATAGAAAACTTTGAATCAATTTGACTGGATGATCTGGTGAACTGTAAAGTGCCTTGAGATGACATGTATTGTGAATTGACGCTATAGAAATAAACTGAATTGAATTGAATTAACGCACTACGCTGGCCATCATGGCCCTAGGATGGTAAAAATCCTATTTTGGATTTTTATTTTTTTATTACAGTAGATCATTCTTATTTTTCGATCTATTGAGAAACAATATAGTGTTTAGTAGAAATAGCCCTTTAGTTTGGAGCAAGTAGATCCTCATTAGGAGCTTTAAGCATTATCAGTATTCCTACACTGTTACAAAGCATCTGCATCTTGTGAGTCATGCTGCTGAAGCTTATTTTTTTGTCCTTGAAACCAAAATGCTGTCAAAAGATGTAATAAAGCTTCTTCAAAAAGGCTGCAACCAAAGGTTGGTGGAAGACTGAATGATGCCGTCCACAGCTGACGCTGAAAAGTATAAAACAAAATGTGGTTCTTAAACGTAGTTGAAGGATGTCCAACTGAAAGCAGTTTAGAGGTAAAAGCTTATTTTCCAAACCAAGGTCACATGCTGACTGCAGCTGAACAGCAAAAATACTTTAACTTTGTGTGCTTTAAATAATTTTAGATACATTAAGACATACTTGGAAAATATTTAAAAGGATCAAAATGTTTCTGTGGGTTTTTAATAGTTTTAATAAATTAACAGAAGTTTTTTTCTGAGGCCAAATATAAAGTTTGATCAGTACTTATAGAGCAAAGTGTGTTAAATGTGCAAAAATATGTATCTTAACTAACTTGTCGACAGATTACCTTAACTTTAATCTCTAAAACTTTCAATACAGGACTGCTGCATACAATTAAAACCTTCTTTTTGTCTTTGATACACCCTTAATTTTAAACAAATCACTTATCACCTGTCCTACCTCCCCGATCACCCATCTGTCGCTTTAACCTCTTTTTCCTCCTAAATAATGGCAACTATGCCACCCTCACTTTCCTGTTTCACACAGGTTATGTGGTCCTTTATCACTTTTTCCTGTTGCCTACATGATCCATCTCTCTCTCTATCTCCTTCTCTCTCTGTCTGTCGGTCGACATCATCATGTCTCTTTCCTCATCTGACCCAGAGGGCCTTGTTTCACAGGAATCCAATCCTCTCACTTTTTTAAACCTGCTGTTCCATTCCACTCCCATTTTGTCACACTGCAGTGCACACACAAAACCCCGCTCATCCCTCATTTCAGCTCTTTTCTCAAAAAACAAAAACACACTCCCAGTCAAACACACATGCAAACAAAGGGAGTGACACATTTACAAACATTTGTGCAACTGCATTAGCCAGATCGAAACATTGGCTCGTACGGAAAGAAGACGACTTAATTAATCCATCAATCAAATTTAGAGCTGTTGGTTGGATTTGTAGACACAGAAAGACTCACACACATCCACCAAACCAGCCTCCCATGTTGCTCGGACATCCATCACAGCTTCACTGACTCCATTCAACCTCGACTCACAACCAATCACACAGAGGTTAGGGACTAACTTGTGTGTGTGCCTGTTTTAGAGATGAACGCGTTCGGCCGGCTTTTCATGCCGATCCGTTTTGTTTACTGTAGAAAAATCCTGCCCACTGACACAGAGGAGCAAAGGATCAGCCGCTCTCTGAATCACACAAAGATTTATCCTCAGACTGATACAGAACATTTTCATTCTAAACTTGCAGAACATAAAACGCTCCTGGATGAAATTAAGACGCAGCTTGGTTCATTTAATTTTGTTTGGTTTATTTTAGATAAACAGGGTCTATAAATATAATACAAGTAACAATATAGCTTTCACTTTTTTTTTTAGCTATTTAGACTGTACATTACTGAATTTTATGAAACCAAAATAAAGTTAACTAACACTAACTTTCTATTAAGATGTTATGGCTGTCTAGGAAACCTTTCTGATATATAAAGAGAAAAGTCATCAACATGGAAAACAGAGAATCTTTCATGTACACCAAAATGTTTGTTCTTAAAGTTAGGCAAATACTTATTTTAATAACATTAACAAACACATCAAAACTAGAAACTGGAGAATGAAGAGAAGTCACTTTATATGGGGTGGCCATTCAAAGATGCTCACATCAGGTCTAATGTTGAGTGTGTGGCCTCATCATGGTGAGGAAAACCTTTCACTGTTGTTTGAGAAACAGAGCAGCTCCGGTTTGGATCCACTGGTTGGGGTTTCCTCCACAGGGCAGTGAGATGTGAGTGACCACCTTCATTCTCTCTGAGTTGGTGTACAGGGGCAGCCAGAGGCTCTCCTGAGAATCGGCGGAGCCAGCTGCAGAGCCCTACAATAAAATAAAAAATGTGATTGCAGTATGTTTGCACATTAGAGTAACTGATATACATAGTTACAGAATAGGGAAGAGTTTAAACTGAGTCTTGCAAAAGTATTTATGGACCTTAAACTGTTTAGAAGTCGTGTCTAACTCTGGGGTGGGCAATTACTGCTCCTGAGGACCAATATCCTACAACTTGTAGATGTGCCTTCGGGTTAAACACACCTGAATCAATTAATTAGATGATTGAGAAGACTCTGACTGCATACTGAGGATGTAACTCAGACATTTGATTCAGGTGTTTTGGACCAAAGATGGATATAAAAGTTGCAGGATACCAGCCCCCAGGAACTGGAATTGCCCACCCCAGACATCAAAACTATTAGCCTGTAATCTATGTCATGTCATATGTTACCTGGACCAACACAAGGCAGCTGTTTATTATAAAGTGGAGAAAAATTGATGTTTGATTTTTACGTATAAAAATGTACATATAAAAATGTAAAAAGCATGGCATGCATTTTCTTTAAATCCCTTGAACCCATTAATATCAACCTGGCGCCTTCGGAAAGTGGAATAGATGAGTGAAGGACTATATAACAAGAACTAAACTTACAAACCTCACAGAGTTCTGTTTAACTCGTCATCTTAAAAAGATAAAACAATAGAAAGGATCAAAAACCAACTCAGGAATATCTGCAATTATAATAGAATTGTTCACATCATAAATATAGACTTAGCAGCAACATTACTGAAAGAAGTAGTTTTACATGCTACAGTGCAACATGGCAGCATCCTGTTCTGGGAATGTTTTCATTAAACAGGGACAAGGAAGCTGGTCAAGGTTTATGGAAAAATGGATGGAGCTAAATATGGGTGGATTCTGGAGGGGAAACCTGCAAGAGGTTGCAAAATTTATGAGAGCAGCTAGAGGCTTTCTTTTCAGCACGATACTGAGCACAGGCCGAGCTGTGTGCCACTATGCATGTCACACTGTTAGGAGTAGAAGAAAGCAGAGAACAACATAATATAAAAGCATAAATGCTTTCAAAAGATACATGTGTTAGGTCTCTAATTGTGATTAGTTTTTTGACTTTTCCCAAAAATAAAAGTTTTGTTGTAAATTCAAACCAAAGTAACCCTTTTGATTTTTGTTGTTTTTTATGTATTCAGTAAAGAGATCATAACTGGATGCTTTAAGCATAACATTTTTTTAAAATCAAGTTTAGTGTTGCGCCGATGCCATTTTTTGGCCCCAATAACAATACCAGATACCTAGTTGTTTAGTATCGGCCGATACCGATACCATCTGTTTGAAATTCATGAGTGTGTGTGTATATATATATATATATATATATATATATATATATATATTTATAAATATATATATACATACTACTTGGATGTAAAATAATTGCCATTATGGCTTTGTCAAGATGCGTCCTACCTTTGTGAAACATAAAAAAGACTTATACAAAGTTAATCCAGTAGAACTTTTTATTGCCTACCTGGAATGGGTGACAAAATGGTATCGTTGGTACTCGCCAATACCAATACCACCATTTCAGTGCTGCATTGGGGGCCCGCCCCCTCGGTATCGGTGCAACAATTAATTAATTTTATACGTTGAAATAATTTTCAATATCTATTTAAGTATTTTGAGAGCTTTTTAACAAAAAACAACAGCCTTCTTTTATTCATTTGCATGGTGTGTATATGCGAGCAAAAACATACTGCCAGAGAAGCCAAGAAGCCAAGAATTGCACCACCTTGAAGCCACGCTGGGTAAAATAAAACAGCTTTTACTTTTTGGGAAAAATGTTATTCATAATTTTAGTTGGTAAATAAACTAGAAGGCTAATGATAGTCGAACAATTATAGGATGCTCTCTAAATTTACTAAGCCAGCTAATAGGTATTTTAGACTGATGTCAGACTGTCATCATAACCTGCAACAGGAATGTCATTAAGATGTTCAGTCTTTGTAGTCAGCATTCAATGGAAGTGACATTTAAACTTCACAAGTATAAAATAGACTAAAACTGCCTTCATCTCCTGTTTTCCCACTGGTTTGAATAGAAAAGCAGTAGATACAAAATGAAAGTCTTTACAGAGGTAAAGCCAGTGAATTAAACTAACTTTGGCCTGACCTATAAAACTGCTGACAGCAGTATGAACAGAGAAGATTGTTCAAATAAAGGGTGTACCTCGGCTGTGGTGTTAAAATGAACCCCAGAATGAGCCTTTAGTCTTTTTTAAACAACCGAGTCTGAGTTTTACATTTATGTAACAAAATAATTAGCCTCTGATATTTAGTCGGTTTGATCAATTTTCTCACGGGTTTGAATGTCAAACAAAAGGTGAAGCAAATTGGAAATCAAACAGTCTCTCGATTGAAAGGCCAGCCAAGTCACAGAAAGCTTCGCCAGCATTTTCAAATGTGAGAAAGTTTAAAGAAGAGTGATAAGGAGCTACCTGTGGAGCCCAGGCCATATAACACGTTGGGACAGCTGAGACGCTGGGGGAATCGTGCTGGTTCTCACTCAAATGGACACCATCAAAACGGCATCCCTCCAGCTGAAGACCACCAACCTATAGATCCAACATGAATGAATGGTCAAAAAACTGTAACTGACTATAATGATGAAAAGCAGAAACAATAGAGATTAACAAGAACAGCAGGCTTGGAGATCATTTCTCCAAATAACGCCCTAATGGAGCAAATATGAACCGCAAGAGGGTGACGAAAACTGAGGTCACTTGATTAAGAAATTATAAACAGATGACATGAGAGACACTGTTTGAGTGACTCAGGGATTTTCCGTAGAGGGCCAGACAAAGGAGACTTTGGCACCAAACATTACACTCACAGACTACAGCAGTAAATCACTATAATCAGAGGAAGGAGAAAATCAAGAAAGAAAGCCAGTGACTAATTTAGAGAAGGCGTCCTTGTGTGTCTGCGTTTGTCAGTGCGTAAGAAAGCTCTACTAGGACCCTTTCTCTCACTCTTTTTGTGTGATGTTTGTTTCCTTTCTCTCTATACAGCTGCAGACTCCACCCTTCCCTTCTTTTCTTTGGACATTTTATCTAAGAGCATCTAACGTCATGCTGAGTTCTATTAGTTTTACTAGAAACAAACTGTGAGTATGAAAGACAATTATATCCTCTGCTGCAGCATGAAGGACAGAAACGATGGCGGAGCTGATTTATTTGGACATTTAACAGCCTTATAATCTTATATATTTCATTCTGTTAAATTTCTAAACCACTCAAGACTGTTTTAAAGACAGTGGATATTTTTAGTCTGTAATGTTCAGAACAAAACCTTTTGTTTCGGTCTAAATCTGTTTTCTTCACAGTTCCTGCTTCATTCATCATATTTACACAAGCAACCCTTTGCTGATTTTGCAGCTCAATGGTAGAATTTACTGCTTAAATTTATAATCTGCAGTGTAATACATGTACAGTGTTAAAAACCTTTTTTTTTACTTCTCCACAGACACTGTTCTTCTGTTAAACATATTTATTATTTAGAAAATGTCAATCCTCAGGCTAAGCCACCTTCTGCCAATCTCTAGACCAATGGGGCTGACTGATTAATCTACTCTATCGATTCATCTTTTTTTTTTATAATAAAGAATTCATTTTTGGAAAATCTGGATTTATATCACTAATCCAGCCTCTTTACTTCAGCAGATAGCTCAGACCCACATCATTTCATTACTGTTTGATCTTAGACGTGAACTAGCTTACTCTGTGAGACCTTTAGCTGAAAAACATGTATTGTGTTATATTTAAATTTTAAGTTCTGAAACAGGATTCCTTCATATTGTAGCTTGAATTTTACTAACATTTCTCAGAAGGGATAATTGAACTAAAAGCTAGTTTTTGAAAGCAATAAATGCCATCTGTCAATTTTAAAATGTAATGTGACAGAAGAAAAATAAAACAGAATAAAAAATGATTGATCAGATTTGGTAAGAAAGAAATCTGTAGCATGTCAAGTCCTGCGATGTCTTGAAGTACAAAACTAAATGAAAATTTATTATTATTATCAGTACATCATTTTCCACTGGGACCATCGTTTAGTTCTGTTTATTCTTTTTTTTTATATATACATATTTAAATATCAACTATCCAGGAAGAAAAATAATCTACCCTCCATACAGTAGGTGAGTGAACAATCTGCAAAGAACAGGAGGAGATTATTAAATATAGTTTAAGGGTCATTGCTGTGATACTTGAGTCAAAGTTGTGCTGACTCTTTAACATTTGTAATGAGGTGCAGCTTACATGATGTATTATCTCATTTTGCAGAATTTTTCCAACATGCCATCTAAAATTGGCTGCATTGTGTCTTATCTTGAGATCAAACATTGTCTGCTACAGTATTTATTGTGCAGGAAGGCGACATGGGAGCATATTTCTCTTTTATAGCATGTCTTCTAATTCAGCATTATTAAAGGCTGATACGCAAAAGTGAAACAGTACTGTTGAAAACTGAAGGTACAATTCATACTTCAGAAAACTAATGAGATTGTTTAATTTATGAAAAATAAAGTAATTCAAATTGACTTAAAGTTGCTACATATGCAACTCTACCTTCACTTGAAGCTTGGCCTGAGCAATAGGACTTTTCCAGGATGTCAAAAACACCAAACTATCCATAGAGCAGCCTATGGATCTGAAAAAAAAAACAACATTTGTTAAAGTCTGGATCCAAGCTGTGGTTGGTTTACACAAACCCACAAGCTTCTATTCTTACCTGGCTGTTTCTTGTCTCAGAGCGTTCAAGAAGGTATCAGGGTGGAAGAGCTCGGATAAATCAAGAATGTCAGAGAGGAGAGCCTGTCTGCTCGCACGTTCAACCCAACTCTGTATACACAGACATACCGAGAGGCACATACACAGACACAAAGATTTACAAACCAAGCTTTTAGAAAATAAATTGGCTCAGATAATATACAGTTCAAGCATGATATCAATTTCAGAAAAGTCTGAAAGAAAACATCCAGAGGATTATTTCAAGATAATGAGAATACTGACAATGCCATTCTTGATCTAAATGGTTATCCTAACAGTGAAATGGCTTGTATTAAAAGAACAAACAATTTACCACTACACAAGTTTAATGCTTTTATGTGGCCATTGCATTGTTTGAATGAGCCTCTCTGCAACCCTTAATATCAACATCTGAGTTATATGGTGCATTAAAAATAGAGGCAAATAAATGAATATTTGATAGAAAAGTGTGATTAATAGGCTATTCCATTTTGCCTTGCTTTTTGTTACCATATCAATAAGCTGATAATGCCATAAGTCCACTTACTTACTAACAAGAACATAATATATATATTAGGCAGAGAACACAGAGAACCCTAAAAATGAAGATTGATCATTCTTGTACACTGAAATACAAGAAAGGAAAGACAGAAATAGAAGGAGAACAGAAATAACAAATATGTGATGGGTGTGCATTAGCATAGCTGGAGATAAGATGCTGGGAGTCTTATCCATTATGTTGATCTAGGCCATCAGATTTGACATCTGCTTTGATTAGATAAGCAGCTTCCTTCTGTGTCACTAAAAAAGCCATTTAGTTTTGTCCACAGGACAGCGTATCTGGTATAGATAAATAAATAACAACACAGTCTTGCTTCTCAGCATTTCCTTAGCTCTGTTTATGTTATTGGAAAAATGTTTCAGAGTTCCAGAAATGCATTTATATAGCTGATTTCTTTTTTTTTTTTTTTGCAAACCAGCTTATTTTTATTTAAGTATGAACAAATAAAAAATAAAGATTTAAGTTAATGTAGCTTTAAGATCTGCATGCTCTGCTATAAATGGATGTTTTGTCAGCATGGAATCAGTCTGTATTAGAGATTAGACAGTGACTGGTTTATAGTAAACTGGTGACCAATTGGTTGGAAACTGGGAAAACTTTTTAAATTCTTAGAGCTGGGTCACACTGACATGAAACTCTTCTGTGTTAAAGATTTTTTTTTGCTAGAAAATGATTCAAGGGGGGGTTCACCAAAGCTAGGCCAGCTCTTTCATTTAACTGTAGCTGTTTTGAGCATGTTCTTTGCTTAATTTGTGCAATAGGCACAGAAAGGAGACATCAAAAATACACCCAGAAGCACATAAGGTCATTATGTTTGGTAGTAGGAGCAATATGAAACAACATTTGGTCTCAGTTATCATTTGAGCAGCGACACACGCACACAAAAAAAATCCATTCGACTCTTTTATCCATGTTATTTTAACTATAGAAAACACCAAGTTTTGACGTGACTGAGTTATCCTCAAAAGGACTACACCTGAGTACAGATGCCAAGCTGGAGAGACAAATTTAGTGATGGTGGAATGATGCATGCCTTTAACTAAATCTTTGGGTTATAAAGCATTAAGTCAAGCTACATGTGAGGCTACATACGTGAGATTATCAAATCTTCGGCTGTACTTTAAACAAACATGGTGTAATGACTTGTTATAAAATGGGAATAAAAAAAGAAACAGGTGCATGGTAGCACTTTGTTGGATGTTCGCTTACATACCTTAGTCCACCTCTTTTCTTCTCCTACTGCATAATTACCAGACGTTTTTATCTTTTTTCCTGCAAATCTTTGTAAAGCATTACTATGGAAATAATCTACATCTACATAAAAATAAGTTAATATCAGCAGGCTATTTTCTAAATGAATCCATGATACCTAATTTAAATATGAGGTGACTGTACTTTTTATATATATATATATATATATATATATATATATATATATATATATA